GCTCTCTTTCATTTTCCCTGCAAGCACTTACATTTAAGTCCCCCCCCCCCCACACCACCACACCACCACACCCCCTTCCCACTTCACCTTCCCCAACCACCGCCTCTGCCTTGTTTGCCTTTGTTGCAAATGTAGCCCCATAATTGTTCAAATCAATGTTTAGCAGTCGCTCTCGCTGCGATTAGGCGGAAAATGAGGTTATGCGGCAGTTGCCATGGTTTCAAAGGCGGCGGATTTCCAAAAAAAAGAATCTCCCGCGGAAGCCAGAGACTGGCACGGTGTAATGAACTTAAATTAAAGCAACTTTTGTCTCAATGTAAATTTTAATTACCCGGCGACTGTCTCTGACAAAAAGGAGCGAGAGAGAACAAACGAGGAGGGGGAGGGGGAGGGGGGGAGCGGGAACAGGGTTTATGTGCCAGAGCGCTAATTTGATCCATTAAGGGATGTGTGTGAGAGAGTGAGTGTGATGTGCTACCTGCCTGGTGAATATAAAGTCTCATTCTCACCCACCAAGCGGCGCGGTGCAAAAGGGCGAGAGCGTCGTCTTGTTAGACTCCAGGCTTCGGCTGAGAAATTTCTAATTAGTCTAATTAGGCGTGTGCAACAGTCAAAAATGGAATGGCTTGTCCTTTGTGCAAGGAAACTGAGAAAATGTGTGAAAACGCGCGCAGACGGGTTGATGCAATCGACGAATCCACATCCTGCTACCTCCGGCGGCCATCGCCCCGTAGCCTGATTTCTTCCTTCTTTAACCCGCTCTGTGATCTTTCGTGCCGCTGATGACATAACAGCTCACTCCTCCTTGGTTTGTTGCCAGTTGGAGCTGCTGCTCCAAAAGTAGGATGATTAACACAGAACCGCACTCATCCGCTTGCGTAACAAGATACATTCAGTCAGCGCTCTGGCACGTCGACAACAGCTTTCCCGGAGTGTTCGATCAAAGAAGAGGATGTCTTCAAACAAATGCATGTCTTTCAACAGACGCGGGGTTTGTATCCAAAAATGGCACACACACACACACACACACACACACACACATGATTCCGATGCATTGAGGGGTTGGTAACCTGCAACTGAACTTGTACATCATGTTATGGTCGTGTTTATTGTGCTGTTTGCTTCCTCTCACATTTACAAAACTGTACACTTCTCCTTACCTGTACCTTTACAAAAAAAAAAAAAAGTCCAGAAAGGAAGTGGACTGCCAGCAGTGCTTGACAAAGATTCCCCCCCCCCCGCCTAAATTGTAGAAGTGTAATCCCTGTGTGTCCGTAGATCACGGCGCCTGTTGACAGCTGCCTTTGCTTTTGAATAACTGTGATTATTCCAGACACAACAATTCGGGCAACTTGGGCAACACTTGTAATTCGCAGGCGAGCGCCTCTCTCCATTCAATTGGAGCTTTTCAGCAGTCGCGCACAAAAGGAATGCAATTTTTGCAGCGTGAATATTATACCTGAGGTCTGAAATGAAATCCTCGCGCTGACTGAGAGTCACATTTTGTGATTGCGAACACCATCGCTGCTGCCCTGTGCAACCAAACACACACACACACACACACACACACACAGAGAGAAAGAGAAGGTTTTTATGAGTAATCCTTTCTACTGATTCGGGGCCTGTAATTGTAAGCAGCGCAGCAGGAAGTGAAGCAAGTCTCAGCTATTGACCAGCCTGGGCCTCACACTGAGCTAAAACACAGAGGTTGGTGGCACTGCCGCTGAGAACATGTCAATTTTGGTCTTTAGAAAAGGGGCACTGCTCGAAGACTGAAAGCAAATCAACACGAGATATCGACCCAGAAAGCCAACCCTGTAAATTGCACTCAGAGAGCCGAACAAAACAACAAAAACCATCACTGGGATTTTTATTGACGGCCGACACTTTCGGCTAACACGCCTCACTTCCAGACGCGAGGGCGAGATCGAAAAGACTCAAACGACAAAAGGTTGATTGACCACAGTATGCGACTTCATAACGGCGATTTAGCTCGAAGGCGACCGCCAACCTGAGCTTTTTACATTCTGACTGACAAATTCCTGCCTTTGCATCACTTATTGCGCAACGACCACGACGGGGTCAAGGCGCGGTAAAGGCCCCGCCGCTCTAGTGACAGAGGAAGTGACATCGCAGTGCTCTCAAACAGCCCCCCCCCCCCCACCCCACCACGTGGGAACAGATCAAATCGCGCTCTCACTGTGTCTTTGTGACAATGCTCGACACCTCATCGCCACGTTCCTTTTTTAACGTGGCGCGGAGACACATGGAGGCCTCCGCCGCGTCGTGTTGTTTTCCTCTGACAGGAATGGGAGCTGTGCCGATAGGCAGGAGCCGCCTTGAGCAAACAGAGAAGCTTCTCCAGTCCCACGCAGTACAGTGAGTGTGTGGTAGTAGGTGTCTGTATTTTATTACATGTCTGTGGTAAAACACCCTAAACTCAAGGTTTACTTGCAAGTTTTTTTTTTTTTTTTTTTGGTGAAAACATCAAAACTTTCATCAAGAATATAATCAAAAGTTCTGGAAAAAGCTTTTAAGTGAACCTTGAGTTTTGAATATTGTTCCCAGGAATAAACCAATAAAGCTAGAATAAACCAAGCTTACATTTTTTATATTTTTATGTTCTTTTTTTCCTGTAACCAATAATTCTTGTTTCTTTATTTTACCTTGCTTATATATTGTTTAAGAGAACTGTAAGCTGCATTAGGAAAGATTTAGAGATGGAAAAAATGCATTATGGTTCATGGACATATGCTCTATGCACATGATGTGATACAACAAAAAAGTTGTCACGCTAATTGTCAATTTGAAGCATGAAAGAATACAGCTGAGATGAGACTTTGCATCTTCTGGATCAAGGAACAAACAACACAATGAAGAATGTAACACTACTGTAACTCTCTGCTGTCGTTATTAAATAAAGGCAAAATGCCCCAAAACATAATCTTGTGAAACGTGCATGGGTGCATAAAAAAAAAGGATTCCATTGAGAGTGCAGCATGTTCTTCTGCAGAAGCACTCCAGTAACAATCAGGGCTAAAATATCTTTGTTATTTATTCGGTCTCTACACCTGCTGTTCCAAACATTTAGGTGCCGTTGACTGGAGCCACTTCAACTGATTTCTGGGTAATGAAGTCCTCAAAATGTCAATCAGCAATCTCCCATTGCCCATTTTAACCGACAGGTGAGTAAATGAGAGACAATCTTTGGCACACACACAGCTGTGGCAGAGTGTTGGACTTTGGATGGAGAACAGGCTTAAAGCACTAACATCACACAGCTTTATCTCTCGTTTAGCTCACAGAGATTAAATAATGTACAGAAACACACATGTTCCACCGCTGACTGAGTGCAGCCAAGTGACAACACCCACTGATGAGTCAGCATGCTGCCATAATCACACTGGCGGAGCATCATATACTCTCAGTGGCTCATGCCAACGCAGTGTTAAACCAGGTAGAGGATGAAAAATCATCTTAAAAAGCAGAGATTATCTCTCTCTCTCTCTCTCTCTCTCTCTCTCTCTCTCCTCTCCTCACCTTGTTTATTGGGGATGAGAGGAGTGAGATGAAACGAGAGGCAAAAGAGGCTGTCAGCCCTTCATTGTTCCGTTCCGTACATTTCGGGTGAATTACAGCGGCAGTGGAAATAATTGCTTGTCCCAATTATGAATCCATCTACCGCCGGTGGCTTTTCTGATTTGACGGGGGAGGAAATTCCCGTGAGCAAAAACCAAACAATGCGCAGGAATAAGGCACGGGGGCGTGTCAGCGGCCATTAATATCCATAAAGGCAATTTCACAACACACCTAATGACATAAAATGACAATAACAGGCAGGTAATTAGTATGCGTGTGAGTAGAGGTGTGTGTGTGTGTGAGTACAGGGGGATTAGAAGGAGTTCGGCATAACATAATTCTCTGCAAATGTGTACCTCATGGTCTCCCTGTATTATATGACTTCAGAGTATGTAGTTATTTATATTATATTATGTGTATGTATTATATATTACAAATTATGACATTTAGGAAACCTGAATATGCATTCATAATGTTACTTAAGTTTTTTTTTTTAAGTTGATTATATGCAGAATAAATGATTAAAAGTAAAGGTTCTCATTGTGGAGGAGAATGACCACTGTCATTGTTGGACTCTCACATTAATATTTGATAATTATTTTATTGGTTTATTTGATAAGGGACAGTGCACATTAATAAAAACATTTCTGTAAATGCGCCAGAGTTAGCCAAGAGGCTATTTTTCATCTGTGGTCCCAAGAGGCAGATGTTACAAAATAAAGCTAAAAACAGAATATAAGACATTATTAAAATGTAATATATTAAATTTAAAAGGTTATACAATATTGACGCTTTACAATGCGTGCACAAACAATGAAAAAAGTGAGAATATTAATATAGTATCATCATTCAGGAGACTTATACATTGGCAAGTACTAACAAGACATGCAACACAGAGGCTCTCAAAGTCAACACACAAGGCAAATTAAATAAGGGATAACTCTGTTAAAATACAAACATGGACTAAAGACAATATTTGGCTGACCTTTCAACCTGATGTCGTGTTGTCTTTTTGGATGGAAAGGATGAAACCAGTCCTGATGAGCTGATTGGTCCAAAATCTGGCTAAATTTGGATTAAATAATAAAGTAATGAGGATTTTTCGTATTTGAAATACATTCCTATATATTCTATAAAATAGAGTTTTTCACAGATATGGATGAGACTGTTGTTTTAAATCCAATCTAATGAGGATATTTCATAGGTTGTAAAGTAAGAGTTTATCAGATGACATAATGTCAACTGCACTCTAATACATTACTTAATAAAAACTGCGTTATTGGATGATCATTGTCCAACACGTGTTTCTATTAAAAGCTTAAAACTACATCAAATATATAAAACATATTTTTTATTATAAGTGTGGCGGGGCGTCAGTGGGAATGCAGTTTCCTGAAGTGCCAGTGTCGCTGTGATTTCTTCCGGGTTCCTCGCGCAGTTTTGTTTTGTTTGGGTGGATCCGCGCGGCGCTCAACGATGACAGAAAGTCACACTTCCGCGGCCGTAGCTCCTGTTTTTCTGCGACTTATATGACAACTTGGTTTCAATGAACGTGTTGCGTACGCGCGTGTCGGCTCGGTAAAGGCGCACGAGGGACTTCACCGGGATTTCGACCTGAACTGAGACACCTGTTGCTCCGGTTTCGACGGACAGGTGCCACTTTCTAGGGAGGAGCTCCGGGCTCGAGATACAACCGAAACTTGGATACATTTCTTTATTATTTTGCCCAAAACAACCAAACATTTGACTTGACAGCTGCTATGAAAGTCACGGTGACGTTCGGGGACACCGCGGTGGTGGTTCCCTGCAAAGCTGCGTGGACCGTCCGGGACTTGACCGACCAAGCCACGCGGAGATACCGCAGGATTTTGGACCAGGTAAACACCCCTTCAAACCGTCACCTACTCAACTTCCCTGGGGGCTTTTAACGTGGACAACACGTCCACGTTAATGTGCCCACAGGAGAGAAAAAAAGAGAGTTTTAATTCCACTCATTCTTCATGTTTCATAAGAGCAATAGCTCCCATAACCTGGCTGTGGTGTCACGTGACCAACGTGTGGTTGTGTTCATACCTTTAAAGCTAACGTTAAATATTAAGTCTTTTGGTTTACTGAACTTTTACAAGTACAAGTTTAACTGTTATTTAAGTGGCTTCGTCATATTGTGCTGGTGCAGATGCCTGCTGTTTACATTTCATATAAATACAATGTTTGAGCTTTTGATGGTCAACAATCCCACACTAAGGAAACCATCACAGGAGATCGCCAACATGCCTCAATAGACCAGAATGCAATGCAGCTGCAGGACACTTTGGATTATGAGTAAGGGGTGTGACTCCAAAAAAACCATCTTGTGGTTGCTTTGTGCCTCCATGCAACATCTGGATGCACAAAGAAAAGGCATTCTGGGTAAATACACTGACCAATAACTAGTGTACAGTGCTGTTCTCCTGTGACACGTGTTGTTTTGAATGTCCCACATGTACACAAAGATATCCCCCCCCCCCCCCTTTCAAGCTTCCTGCAATCACTTGAGCATTAATCACTCTGTCGAACTGACCTTTTGTTAATCAGCCGCCATGTATGTGCACGCTGTCCCGGCGTGATAGGGTGCCGATGTGAGTTTGGTCCCCCGTGTGGCCCTTCAGCTGTCTACCTGTACAATAGCTCTCTGTTTTTAAGCCCCGGTATCTCAGCGGGCAGGTGGGAGTTTACTGTCTGATGTCCTCAACGTGGACAGAGTCGGGGGCTGCGCGGTCGTGGACAGGAGGCTTTTGTCCTGTGAGTGATTGGGGATTAGGACTGGTGACAGGTCCGGGTCTTATCGGTTGGCTGGTCCCCACCACCACCACCGCCGATTCAGCCAGACCACGTGCTGGCTCGTGGAGATGTGAGAGGCCCGCGGAAGCGGGGATGGAAGGATGGAGCGGCTCGATGGATTACACACACACACACACACACTCGCACTCACACATGGAGGAGCTCATCTTGCTCAGTGTCCACTGAGCTGTCACGTCTCTGCTTCACCGGCAGCCACAGGCATGGCCGCTCTGCCCGGCCATCCCTGATTGCTTTTCACAGAGCATGTTAATTAGGAGCCGTTGCAGGACACTGACTTAGCAGTCCTGAGTCGCCTCCTCCAAATAGAAGCTGCGAGAATGTGTGTCGGTGAACGAGGTTCTGCACTGTGCATTGCAGCAACGGCACGCAGACCTCGCTAATTAGCAGGTTATTCTGATCTAGTCCCGGGCGTGACTCCGCAGGCGTGCACAGCTGCTTTTCGTGAATCCGTTGTTGAGAAGATGTTGTCATGTTCACTGACAAACCCTCTAACGAGCTGCCTTCCGACTTGATACACAGTTGTAAAATCACGCTGCGCAAATGTGTATTGCGAATGTGACAAAAGATCTCATGTCGTTTTTCGCGCACTATTCGATCACTGCTATTGTGTAAAGATTTGCACCCCGAGGTGTCACTGTAAGATTTATATGTAATAGTAGATATGTTTGATTAGTTCTTAGCTTCCATCTGCCATCCATACTAGTACACAATAAAGAAACACAAGGCCAGGTACTGTAGCCGTCTCTCCCCGTCTCACGGTCCTGCAGGTTTCTGTTTGGATTACTGCCCCCATACCAACTCTGTGCAGACACCTGACGGTGCACTAAAAGAGCTGGAAGCACTTTGCCCTCCTCCTCCTCCTCATGTGTGTGAGCGAGAGGAGTAGTCCAGTGTGGGCCGGCATGTGTGCGTCACAACTCAGCTATGCAGAAGGCCTTTATTGTAACTGTTCAAACATCAGTGTGTCATCGCGCTTTCAGGCCCGGCTAGTTCTCGAATGTGTTCAGGGAGATTCGCTGCATTCCTCAAACTGTTGACGATGTTCCGTATTCTAACTGTACATCGCGTTAAACTCTTCTTCCCCGAAGGAAAAATACTTCAAATAGCCGTATCGCTACAGAGCAGCATCCCGAGGCTAGCCGAGGGGCAGCGTGGGCGACTTTAAACTCGGGCATTCCAGACAGTGACACAATAAAAAGGCCTCAATTACAGAGATGTGAAAACAGTAAAATACCTGGAAAAAAACTGTTTCAGCAAGATATCACAACTCAAGAAGTGCTCTTAATTGTGTAATTTGCAGGGAATTTACTCTTCTAACTGTCTTGGTAATTCTCCTCTGCTGGTGATTGACTGACTCCCGACTCCTTTTTGTTTTTCCATGTCACGGGAAGAGTTCAGGATACAAAGGGGAATTAGCAGGGACTTCAGAGGAGGCTGTTTTTCTTGCGTACATTCATCACTAGGCAGTGCGTTTTTCTGCCTGAGGAAAACGGACGCACAAGTACGCCACAGGTGATGCTAATTAACACTTAATCACACTAATACCTCTTAGACAATAGACTAATACCTCTTAAAAATTGCAGTCGGAACATGGCTGGACTTGAAGTTAGGACAGATGTCAGCAAGTGTCAATACCTCTTAAAGGTGTGTGTCTTAATGCTGGTGATGCGCAAACGAGCCAATTACCGCACTTCCCTCCTCTGCTGTGTGCTGTCACACACACACAGACACACACACACTCACACATAATGGGAACAGTGTCGGTTAGAGGCAGAAGAATGCCGGCGGTCGTTCAGGTTGGACCGGTTTTTCTGGCGAGGTGTAAATGCTTCGCCCTGATGTCTTTGCTACGTCTGCGCTCCACCGGTTTCAGTGTCCCCGTAGTAAACATGAACATAAAATCAATAAACACACCGTTTCTGATTTTAAATATATTTTTTTTTTTTTTGTTTTTATATTCTGGTACAATGGTATAACTGATCGACTGAGCTATGAGCTAAAAGTTACTGTGGCTTCCCAGCATGCATTGCGTTTGGTTGTCTTTATAAAAATGTGTCGCACAAAAATGAACGATGACGACGCAGGTATCTACTCTCTTTGTAAGCCCCCCCCTCAAACCCTTTTTTTTTTTTTTACAGTGACGGGGACGCTCTCGCCGTTTGTGTTTGCCAACACGCCGTTGCATTGTGGGAAAACTGCACCGCGTTTGCATGCGAGTTGTAGACGTCTCAGCTGCGGCATGACGGGCACCTCTGAAAGAAAGGGAGGCTTTATTCCTGTGATTGAAATCCCAGCCTCTCCCGACCATTTGTTTTTAAGAGAATGGACTCGGCCCATTGTGCAAGGCAGACGCCCTCTCTTTTATTTTTTTTTGCGCCCCAGTAATTCACATTCTGATGCAGCGGAGCAAGAAGGAGCCCATTCACGACGGGTCTGGGTGATGCAGCAGAAGCCACTCGCTGGGTCTCAGCCAAAGTCATTCCAGCCTTCCGCGGCTTATTGCCCATAGCTGGTAATTTAGCCGCTAATGTAGTCGTGTGTCGCTCTGGACAGATTGCTTATTGGTATGGGCAGCTCCTAATGGGCTATTTTCTACCGCACACATTGTTGGAAACGATAAAGGCTCCTCAAAGATTTCTTTTAGTAGAAATGTTGGAAAGAAAATAGCAACATTTGACCGATCCAGGAGGTCCGAGTTTCACTTATTTGTGTTCATATTTGATCATCTTTCTCTTCTCCCACTCTCACAGAAAGGGGAAGATGCTATTGTTCGTGTACTTCTCTGTTGATTTTCATCAACAGCCCACACAGATAACAGACAAAGGTCCATGTTCTCCATCAATGGTCAGAGCGCACACCGGCTCGTGGTACTTCCTGCTCCGCGGTGGCGCGCTCACTCTGACCTCCGACCTCATGGCGACGGCGAAAGCGCCCCGGAATGTGGAAACATTTCCCATCCACCACCACCACCCCTCCTCACTTTAACATTCCTCTGCACGAACTGTACTCGCGTAATGTAGGTCATGTGCTGCTACTGTACCTGCCGAACAAACGGGGGAAGCCTGCTGCTGGGTCTGGACATATGTGCGGCGGTTGCGTTGACTGGCTGTCAGCGTTGTGGCACATTTGTTGCTGTAAACAAAAGCATTCGTAGTGGAGCACAAATGGCAGAGAGGGGAGTTATTTTTAGCATAAAACAGTGACTGAAATCTTCAAACATAGCTCTGTGAAACGTGTGTGTGTAGTGGAGATGACACATAATGGATTTATGTTTCTGGAACCTTTTGTGAGAATGTGTTTTTGTTATTTGTGTTAAAGTTAAAGTGATGGTAATTAAGCCTGTTCTTTTAATTCGTGCTCTGATGCTAATTTTTTGCTAACTTTGTGTCCAGCAGGAGGAGAGCGAAGTGAGGACCCACCACATGACGTACATCGATGGAGGGATCATGGACATGGACGACCTGCTGAGTGACCTCGTGGAAGACCGAGAGAAGGTGAGGGCCGAGGCGACGGACAGTTCTGGTGTTCACGCATCGGGGGTTCGTCGCCATTCCTCGTCGCAAGCGGTGTCTTGATTGCTCTTACCTGGCTCGAGGCGCGGCGAATTACAGCAGAGAGTCCGTCGCTCTCAGCCGCGCTTAAGAGTCTGCTAGCGGATTTATTTTGACTCCAGCCTGGCAGGATGACAGCAAGCCCAACAAACAAGGTATTTGTAAATCCAAACCTTGGTTCGCTTGTCACCGCTCGCTGGGAGTCTCAAACGACTCGGTACCAAATGTGACAAAAAACAGAAAAGAAACTCAACTCTGATTTGATTGCGTCGTACTTTGCTCCACACACAAGCTTATCCCCCC